AGAAGAGAAATTTGAGAATTTAGGAGGAAAAGTTGGGTAAAAGCTCCATTTGCTTTTGAAAACTCTGAATCAGTCATTGAGTTAAACGTGGTTACACCTTCATTCTTAATAGTCACTGGAGAAAGATTACGAGACCTTAAATTTAGCGGCATTTTAGATTAAGCTAAAGGAAAACTCTTCTGTCAAGTAGAAAGAGCGTGTCGCTATTACTGCTGTTCACAGCACTGAGGTTGTGTCAGCTGGGGTTTTCAGTCCTCGCCCAGTTAGGGTCAAAGGCAAGAAACAGGTGAAGGAGACAGCAGGTATGTGGGTAGCATTGCACACTCACACATTAAGAACGTACCTACTTTTCCTACTATCTTGTAATGTCATTTTGTAATAGCTGTCTTAATTTTTATTAACTTTAAATATTAGTAAAATCAAGTCATTTATGTTTATTGAAAAAAACAAACAAACAAAAACCTCTGTTAAAGGCCAGAAACTTTCTAGAAACGTTTGGGATATGAAATGAAGTGGATGCTCAATGCACCTTTCTACAGGGCGAAGGAGCCAGCGATGCTTAAAGTCTGTACTTCATAGTCATTTACGAAAATAATAGTGTGACAAATCCTATACTTCTTTTTGTAATATAGTTTCAGGCTGGGAGTATGGCTCAGCTAAAGAGTGCCCAGCATGACCAAGGCCCTGGATTTAATCAACAGCACCAAAAACAACAAAAGCAAAAACCTGTCTGATTTTGCTAGGTAAACCACTGTAGACATCCAAAATGGCATCAATTGATGTTGTAATGTCACCTGCTGCGATTAAGCAGACTGTATCACATAGTAATCATCTTCAAACACATTTTAACTTCTGCCTCTCTTTAGTCCCTGGGGATATTCTTTGGCGTCGTCTTTATAAAGTGAGCCAGGATAGTAGTTCCTCTCCTTTGCTACCACAACTAGCCTTATTGTAACACATGATTTTGCAGATCTTACACACACACCTGTTGTTATTGCTTTAGATGAAGTGTTAGAAAACAGTTCTCTGTGAAGAGCTCTATTTGTACACAGCCCAGGCTCTTTGAATGAAGGTATTTGCATTCAAGTTAAGAATGTGCCTTTGGGGCTGGAGAGATTGCTCAGTTGTTAAGCGCACTGGCACTAGCTGCTCTTGCAGAGGACCCAGGTTTGCTTTCTAGTACCCACATGGAGCTAACAACTGTCCATAACTGCAGTTCCAAGGGATCTGATGCCCTCTTCTGACCTCTGTGGGCATTAATACACATGGTGCACTTATATACATCTTATATACATGCAGGCAAAACATTCATACACATAAAATCAAAAATATATAAATTTAAAGTAAAAAGAATGTGCCTATAATGAGACAACCAAGGTAATGAAACTAGAGATTTTTCCCAGAGACATCCTGGGAAAATAAAGATAAAGGGCTGTGAGACGGCTCAGTTGTCATGGATTTGCTGTGTAAGCATAAAGGCCCGAGTTTGGACCCCCAGCACATAAGTGAAACCTAGTATGGTGACACTTTGGAGTCCTAGCTCTCTGAGACTGTGTGTGTGTGTGTGTGTGTGTGTGTGTGTGTGTGTGTGTATGTAGAAACAGGAATATTCCCTGGGGTTCTCTGGCCAGTCAGCCAGCCTGGTCAAAATGGTGAGCTCTAAGTTCAGCAAAGATCATGTCCCCTAAAGTAAAGTAGAGAAGCCCCTGGAGAAGATCCTGACATCAAGCTCTGGCCACCACATGTGCCTCCACAGGCAAGAGCACCCTTCCACACATACATACACCACACACAATTAAAAGCATTCTTCTTTCACCCCTCTTCCCTAGAAGTGTCTGTTTATATTGAGGAATAATGAGCAGTAGAGGGCCTTGTTGACAGGTAAACCAGATAACTATAGAAACCCAGCTTGTTAAAGTTGAAGCTGTTCTGTAGTGCAGCCTACTAAAAACAGAGGTAACACCTGGCCTCTGCTGTGTCACATGGAGGAATTTGGAGCAAGGGGACTGACCAGCACCACCCTAGATACTTTTTGTGGGGGCCATAAACTGTCTCTCTGACCCAGAGGCTTTGGGTCTTTTTGTGAGCATATATCACTTCTGTAAAATACCTTACCATATAAGGTAACAAACATTTATAAGTCTCAGAGATTAATACGTAAACATCTTTTGCGGGGGTGCAATTCAACCTGATTGTAATCAATCCTCTGGTTTCCGAAGACTCACATCCAACTCACTTGATAACTACATTCATCCATCCTTATGGCTCCAAAAGTTTTGAACTTAACCTGAGGCATCAACTCAAGTCCCAAGTCTCGTATCTAGATTGTCTGAATTAGAAATGGTTATTCTCTATTCTGGGAAAAAGTATCTGTGCACTTATGAATTAGAAGGCAAGTCCTATGCTCTTAAACTTCTGGTATGGGGGTAGGGTAACACCCATGGATGCTGTCATTCAAAAAGGAAGGAAATAAAGGAAAAAGAAGTCACCAGGCAATCACTTTCAGTCTACCTGGACAGACTCCATTAGGTTCAAATCTGGGAATAACGTGTGATTCATGTCTGTGCCCTCTGTACCTATGGTTACTCTCGAAGCTATTGATTTTTACAGAGACTAGCACCTGTCTGTTGCTGTCTGTGCCTGTTTAATTTTGCTAGCCCAACAGTACCCCTCAAGGTGTATTTTTTTAAATCATCATCTGTTCCTTTAGTCCTACTTAGTGTGCTTTAGTATAACAATCTTGAAAGCTTTATGAGTTACAGTGATTCACCCCATTAAAAGAAGAGCTTCTCCTTAGATTTTTCCGGAATAATCTCTTCATCATTTTTGGCTCCTGAGATGCAGAAGGGATCCGTGATCCCATCAGATTTCAGAGAGCCCACAGTGTTGATGGAATTTTTTAAAATTTCCCAAGTACGAGTTGGACTAGGAGCTTGCTCCTTCTCTCTTCATCATTTTTGGCTCCTGAGATGCAGAAGGGATCCGTGATCCCATCACATTTCAGAGAGCCCACTGTGTTGATGGAATTTTTTAAAAATTTCCCAAGTACGAGTTGGACTAGGAGCTTGCTCCTTCTACTTCACGCACCGACCTGGTATTGCAGCACCTCCAGGAACTGTGCACCCCCTTGGGGGAGCTGAAGCTGTTATAAAAAAGAAAAGCTACATAACTGGTTAGCATTAAGAATGAGGAAATTATGGCCGGGTGTGGTGACACACCCCTTTAATCCCAGCACTCGGGAGGCAGGGGCAGGAAGATCTCTGTGAGTTCGAGGCCAGCCTGGTCTACATAGTGAGTTCCAGGACAGCTGGGGCTACAGGGAGACCCTATCTCAAAGAGACAAAAAAAAAAATTTCCTGAGTACTAAGAAAAGAATGCTCCTACCTAAAAATGGCGTATCATAATTTAATTTTTTTAAACTATATTTTTCAAAAGAAGGAAGTCTTGCCGTATAACTGGCTTTCTTTTCTCCAAAGCTTGTGCTCCTCACCACGGATTTCATCTTCAGCATCTTTTTCAGCCTGGACAGGCTGAAATTTCTCCAAATTCTGAAGTCCTGGTTCTTTTTTGTAATAGTTCCTTCAATTGTTCTCTTCCATTTTACTAAGTAACAAGCAGCCATACGTTCAACACTTGGCTTGGAAATTTCAACTAAATGTACAAATTTGTTACAAGATGTTGTCTGTATAATTGTAGCAAACAGCTCATCTCAGCTTTCAGACTGTTTCCTCCAGTCTGAAAACACGTTCCTCAGTTTATTGTGGGAGCTCCCTCGCAGCGCTTTAGACATCACTAGTTCTACAAACAGTTCCTATTAACTTAGGTATTGCCTAAGAAATTACAGGGCTTATTGTGTTCTTCAGTTCCTGTTGGGCCCTCATCAACAGTCTTTGATATACATCTTTCTGCTCTCTATTTAAGGCAATTTAGGCTTTATTCTTTCATATTTCTGAAATTATTTTCCTGCCTCTGCAACAGTTACCCAAATCCAAACCATTTCATGTTTTCAATATTTGTGATAGCAGTTTGAGGCCAGAAACATAATTTTGATGACTGACTTGTCCTTCAGCATCTTCAGGAGCCCTTTTCATGGACTGGTTGGGGCCAGCCAAGAATAATAGTCTTGTTCCTGTTGGTGCCCCCAAATCTGTCTTGGAAGAAAAATAAGAGAAAAGGGACAGGGGCAGAAATTTTTGGGTGCCAAAGTCTATATTTCCTATTACTGCTATTACTGTTTATTATCTATAAATTTAATGCCTATCACTGGAATGTGAACTTTGACATAAGGAGAAACTGGACAGGAGAATGTAGAGTTTGGTTACAGCAAAAAGGATTCAAGTACAATGTCATGGGACACCCCTACCCAGACCCCTGTTTATCAAGGTGCTTTCCCAGTTCCAAGGTTCTCAGCTTCCACTGCTGTAAAAACTTGGGATTCTGTTCACGCTGTCTCTGGGCACCTTTAGGATTTTGCATTTATTCGGGAGTGAAATTGTGCTCCAGAGACGTTAATAAACTTTCCTAAATTTACTCATCTGGAAAACCAAGAATATTATAACCCAGCTAGGAAGGGCAGTGTGAAAGGTAAATGAATATCAGGCTTGCAAAGTGTTGGATAGTAACAACTAGGTCACTTTCAGTTGTGTGTGGTTATTTTCTGAATAACAGACAAATCCTAACCTTGGCAGAAGTCCGCCAAGTCTGTTACTGTTTGGAACCAGAGATGCTTTTCTTCTGATGGCTGAGATTCTCCTGTCCTGAGACCTTGCATTGCTTTTGGGACCCTTCTGGTGGGGCTCCCCATGTAGCACTGGCTGGCCTGGAACTCTTATGTAGACCAGGCTGGCCTTGAATTCACGGAGATCCTCCTATGCATCACCATGCCCCACACAGAGCAGTTAGTTATCTTTTGACAGATGTCCCAAGTTGGGTGGAGCCAGAGTGACTTAAGGTGTGAGTCATGTGGGTGGGACTCCCAGGGTGCCGCCTTTATTGGGGGAGAGGAGGTGGAAGAGTCCAGGAGACAACTAGTTGGAGGAGCCAAAGTCCCCATAATGGCTGCCCAGGGGTGTGCCCTGCCTCAGTGGCTGCTGCTGCTCCAGCTGCTGCAGCTGCTGTTCCTAGATGTCACGGTGGGCGCGCGGTGGAGCGGGGAGGGCACCAACCAGCAGTTGCAGAGTATCTTCCTGGGCCGCTGTGCCGCGTACACCACGCTGCTGAGCCTCCAGCTGGGGTGAGCGCTGAGACACAAAAGTGAAGAGGGTCGGGGAAGGAAAAAGCCAGGCACTTAATGTGGGTGATACTTTATGCGGCCCCTGTGGCCGGGCATCTCCAGGGACAGGAGCAGACTGCTGATGAGGATGCACTGCGGGTATAGAGGTTGAGAGCTGTGTGTGGACCACAAAGTGTCAGTCTAGAAGTGAGTTTGCGAGGCTGGCGTCCACGTCCTGTGGGAATCTTCCTTGCTCACACTGTGCTTTTTACTGATTTTTGTTCTTGATTTGGACCCATTTTTTTCATGTTGTCAGTGTCCTTTACTTGTACCTGTGCTTTTATCTTGATGCATTTCAATGAAATAAAAAGGATCAGAGACTAACAGAAGGGGTCGTGTTCTCCACCACCCACCATGGGAAAGAAAAGTGGCTGTGTTTGAAAAGGGACCTGGCCTTCAGGCATTAAGACTGGCCTCAGAGGACATACTCTGCCTCAGAGTTTTCGCCTAACACTGGCACTCACTCCTGTTTTCACAAGTCCTGCGTCCTGACTTCAATGGGTCCAGAGACTCCCTAGACCCGAAAAATGGCCCCACTCCTGTGCTAAATGAATAGGCAAAGGCTGTGGGTGTGGCTCAGTGGTGGAGTACCTGACTAGCATGCACCAGGCTCTTGGTTTCATCCCCAGTAACAACAGAGAGAGAGAGAGAGAGAGAGAGAGAGAGAGAGAGAGAGAGAGAGAGAGAGAGAGAGAGAGAGGAGAGAGAGGAGGCATATTAAAATTGTCACCTTCTAGCAATGGCCTTGTCTGCTTGTCTGTTCATCTTGTGAGCCTGGAACAAGACTATCACTTAGATTGGCGAACTCAGTTCAGCCCCCACTGGGAGACACTTCTAATACTGGATTTCTATATCCATTGTTTGAACCATGGCAACCTGTTTTCTTCATGTATCTAGTTCTGTGTTTCCTCCTCTTAGAGAAATAGAAACACTTCACAGGACATCCTGATGTGTCTTTGTTTTTATGACATGCATTTATTATGTGTGGGCTCACAGGCCTGTGCAGGGATGGAGGCCAGAGGAGTACACTGGGCATCCTGCTCTGTCGTGCATCTCATTCCCTTGAGACAGGTTCTCTTACTGAATCTAGAGTTAGGTTGGTAGCAAGCCCCAGTGATCCTCCTGTCCCCACCCCTTATAGCATTGGGGTCAAAGGCATAGGCAGCCCCACCCAGATTTTGACATGGGTGCTGGGGGTTTGAACTCAGGTCCTGACTGTACAATAAGCAGCCTTACCCCCTGAGCTATCTGTCCAATCCTGATTGACTTGTACTTTTTCACAGGAACAAGAACTGCACAGCCATCTGGGAAGCCTTCAAAGTGGCGTTGGACAAAGATCCCTGCTCTGTGCTTCCCTCAGACTATGACCTTTTCATTAACCTCTCTAGGCACCCCATTCCTAGAGACAAGGTAAGGACAACTGTCCCAGGTAAGTTGCTACTCTGTGTGAGGAAGTGGCACGAAGGTCAGGAGCTCAGTCAGCTGCCCCCAGCATCCCGCAGTGTCACCAGACATCTAGGCAGCTTTGTCTGCACCAATGATTCTGGGTCTACTGCCCAGCTATGGGCAGGAAAAACTTTACCAAACTACCAAATCAAGAATCATTACAAAAAAACCTCAGGCTATTGTCAGACCTTTCCCACTGGCCTACAGATCTGCTCAGCTGAGAATAAGCTCCATCTGAACTGGCCCATGGGCTGGACTTGGAGGAATTCAGAAAACCCCCAAAGCCATTATCCTTACAGTCACTTCTTTTAATGAGTCTCAATATTATGTTTACTCAATAGCACTTTCTTTAAGAAAACCACATAGCTATATTTTGTCTGCTCTCTAAGATCTAATAAGATGGAAATAAATGGGAAAACCTATATAAAGTGTTTGCTTAGAACAGTACCTTGAGTTTAAAGACAGTTGAACACCATTTTTATGACTCTGACATGGTCAGTCTGTTGTGGGGGAGTTGAGATAAGGTCTCACTATATGTAGCCCACTGATCTCTAATTCACGTAGATCCTCCTGCCTCTGGCTCCTAAGTGCTGGAATTACAGGCATATGCCACCACACCTGGCTTAAAAATGTAATTTTTAAGTACCTGCTGTATTTGGGGTTTTGTTGTCTTCTTGTTGGTAAAAAGTAGAAGCATAATTTTACATTTTAGGTCTCTTGTAGGTTTAGTGAGTTAGTTAATGAACCCAGTAAATATCTTACTGGGTTCCTTTGTGTGTCAGGTATTGTATTTGGGGTTAAGGATGCAAACATGTAAAACAGTTCTTGGAGCCCTTCCAGTCTACACAGAGACTGGACCACTGAGGCTCAGACAAGAAGGTGACTGGGAGTACTGTTATTACAGTATTACATTTACGCTGCTATGCTGTGAAGAATGATGCGTTTCTGAAGCACTGTGCACTCTCAGAGGGTTTTGTGTGATTGTGCACCATCCTGATTACAGCTACAGAAGAAGAGAAGAGGCTCATGCTCCCATTTCCCAGTTGTAGAAACTGAGACACAGAGATGAAATACCTTGGTCAAGATCACACATCCAGCATGGGACAGAGCCAGGATGCCAGTCCAGTTCCCTTGACCATTTTAAGGCAAGGATCTTACCAGCATTGAATATATTTTCTATGACTAGGAAAACAGTTCACTAACATCTACATGGCATATTGCAGCGAAGGAGGAGGGATAGTGGCCTTCTGTAAATGTGCAGGTAAAGACAGGGAGAGGAAAGCTCAGCAGGTCTGAATTCGATGAGAAGTGGCTGTCTGGCTTGTTTTGATGACAGCGTGCCTGAGTAATGGACCTTTGATTTGTGTTTTAACTCTTGTTTGTTTTTCTTCAGGCCCTGTTCTGGGAAAATAACCACCTGCTGGTTACCAGCTTTGCAGAGAACACCCGTCGCTTTATGCCCCTGTGCAACGTTCTGTATGGAAATGTTGGAGATTTCATGAGCTGGTGTCGACAGGAAAATGCCTCAGGTAAGACTGCCACACCTCCTCTTCCCTGTGCGGTTACTATTGCTGCTGAAAACTTGCAAATGCGTTCATCTTGTTTGTTCCTCCCCACATCCTCTGAGGTAGGTGGTGGTGATAGTGAGGGACAGGCCCAGTAATGGACACAGTGTGCTGCTTACCTTCGCTATGTACGATTCTAAGCATTTTACACGTCAGCTCTTTAATCCCCTCAATATACCAGTGGAATCCTGTCACTATCTTATTTTGACAAATGAGGAAACTGAGGCACAGCATGATTAAGGTTGTATATAGCCAGTAAACTGCACAGTCTCACAGTCTGACCCAAGAGCCTGTGATTCGAATCCAGCACAACTCTACTTTGGTCTCCTGATTTGCCAGAGGGGGGAACTAAGACTTAAAGAGGGTAAGTGAGCTGTGCACATGGTACAGAATCCATGCCAAACATGGAGCTAGCAAATATTTTAAATAACATCTTTCCTGATATGAAATGGGCTTGGGTACTTTTCTCCTAGGTCTTGATTATCAGTCCTGCCCCACAGCAGAAGACTGTGAAAACAATGCTGTAGATTCGTATTGGAAAAGTGCATCCATGCAGGTAATCCCTGGATGGATGAATGAGTGCTGAGCGTGTGTGTAGAATCTGACCTGAAACAGAGGTTCGGACACTGAGACCCTAGGCTGTTACCTAATCCCTGTGGGCCTCACTTTCCACTTTTACAACATCTCTGGATCATTTTCTCTGCTTCATAAAGTCATGAGGCTTTAAGGAGATAAAATACTTAATGTAGTGACTGGTTCAGAGAAAATTATGCCTTTACATATACATATACCTATATTCATATACATGTACAGTAGTTACAACCAGTGTTTCCATTATGTCATGATTGTGTTTAGTGTGAAAATACATGTTACTTTCCGTTTCTGTGTAAAAATAGAGGTAATCTTCATTTTGTGGAAGACCATGGGAATGGTAGACCTAGACATGGGAATCAGAAGTATTAACAACTGTTATTAATGGGAGAAGAGCTGGTAGACTGCATGTAAACTGGAACCATAGAAATGTCCCTAAGTCTGTCTGTGACTCAGAGATTACTATCACCAGAGTTGATGATAAAATGCGGTGTTTAGAGCTTACATTCTCTGTCTCTAGAATAAAGATTAAGATAAAGAGGGTTAAGTCCTCAGCCCAGTGCTGAAGTTAAATGTTGCTTATGCTCATTAAGAAGCCAGTGGAGGACAGGGACTTCTACCTCTACCCTTGCAGGGTACCATGTCTCCTTGTGTCTCTTCCACTTTAATCTCCAGGTGTTCACTGGGTCCGCTGATAGTCAGGGTGAAGGACTTTGGCCAAACCTTCCTTCGTGGCTGCAGCTTGAGGCTAAGCAAAGGGCCTGCTGCAAGCACAGGGCACCATGCTGAGTCTCCAGTGGGAGACTGATATTCCCACTTTCCATGGGTTTCATCTTGAACTCCAGTTCATCTGCCAGAGTCTCTTATTGAAGACTTAGAGGCTGTGGGTTTGTTATGCCTTCATTATCTGAAAAAAACAAAACAAAACAAAACTGCATATAGCTTTAAAGTGTGTGCTCCAAACCACAGTCCTAAATGTCCTCCAATTCTCTAATGGAAAACTATTAACAGTACTCACAGTTTTTAAGTCCTTAGAATATGCTGAACAGTCAAAGTATGAGCAAAGGTAAAACAGTGATGAAGAGGGGCTTGATCCATACCAGATAAGTATTCAATAAATAGTGCTATTACTGTTTATTGTGCTTGGGATCAAACTTACAGCCTTGCACATATTAGTCAAGGACTCTACCAGTGAACCACATATTCAGGCTAAATATTGTTTTAAATGTTTTCATCTTTATAGAAATCCTGTAAGATAGATGTTTTGACAGATATACAGATGTAGAAAATGGGAGGGCTGGAAAGATGGCTCAGAGGTTAAGAGAGCTTGATTTTCTTCCAGAAGGCCTGAGTTTAGTTCCCACCACCCATGTTGGGCAGTTCATGACCATCTGTAACTCCAGCTCAGGGAATCTGATGCCCTCTTCCAGCCTCTGTGGGCACCTGCACAGATATAACACAGATGCACACACACACACACACACACACACACACACACACACAAATAAATAAAAATAAATCTTTTTAAAAAGAAGAGAGGTACAGAGTGGTCAACAAAACATTGTAAGGGTCTGTGTGATCATAAAGTGAGTCTTTGTTTGAACCACTCCCATTTTGAGGTTGTTTGTCATGTCAGCCTAATCTAGTTAATTCTAGTTGATGTGATGCTATGTGTTCCGAATCATGCCCTTAGGGTAGGGTGCCTAACATCGAATTACTGAGCCTATGAGTTTTTGACATTAGGAAGCAATTCGCATCCCTATTTACCATGTGAAAAAGCAAATTTACCCATTTTGAAATTTGTCAAATAAAAAGACAAAGCTCTGCTCATAGAAAAAATGATGTGATTTTATTTGCTCAAAGTCCCTGTTTCTTCTTGCAGTATTCACGAGATAGTTCTGGGGTGATCCACGTCCTGCTGAATGGCTCAGAGCCAACAGGAGCCTATCCCCTCAGAGGGTAAGAACTACAGCACCAACAAATACTACAGGTGATACCAAAATGAAGGGCAGAGAGAATCATCCCAGTTCCTAATCTAATGCTTGCTTTTGTGAATTCAGGTGAAGCAAAACAGTTGAATGATGTGTGACCAGGGCCATGTCTTTGTAGTTGTACTATTAATAGCTGATAAATGCACGAATCAGTAACGAAAAGGTGAAAAGACCAGTTGAGGAGATAGCTCAGTTGGTAAAGTGCTTGCCTTGTGATTATGTGGGACTCACTTCCATTCCCAGAACCCAAGTACACAAGACCGGATGTGGTGGCACACGCTTGTAATCCTAGTGGCACAGAGCAGGAGACAGGTAGATCTCTGGGGCTTACTTACTAGTGAGCCTAGTCTATTTGGTGAGTTCCAGGCAGGGAGAGACGCTTGACTCTAAAAGGGTGGACAGTATCTAAGGAATGGCACTCAAGTTTGTCCTCTGACCTCCACATACATGCACACACACACACACACACACACACATGCACACACACAGAGTAAAAAGAATCCTAGTACCTTTTTAAAAAGCAATGTATAAATGGGGGCTGGAGAGATGGCTCAGTGGTTAACAGCACTGGCTGCTTTTGCAAAGGACTTGGGTTTGCTTCCCAGAACCCACAGGCAGTTAACAACTGTCCGCAATTCCAGTTCCAGGGGATCCTATGCTCTTTTCTGACCTACACGGGCATTGTACATGGACATGAGTACATTTATACACATGCAGCAATACACTCATACACATAGAATAAAAATAATAAATAAAAATTTTAAAAAGTAATGTATAAATAAACTAACAACTGAGATGGAAAATTATCATATTGCTTTAAGACTCCAAGAGATAGTCTCCCAGGCTGGAAACAGAGCTCAGAGGTAGAGTCCTTGCCTAGCATGTATAAACACACATCATGAAAGAAAGAGGGAAAAAACCCACACATGTCTTCTGTGCCTCTCAGGTTTTTTGCAGATTTTGAAATTCCATACTTACAGAAGGATAAAATCACAAGAATTGAGATCTGGGTCATGCATGACATCGGAAAGCCCCGCGTGTAAGTTACAGGGTTTGCACTTCTAGGGTTTTTGTTGTTGTTTGTTTGATTTAATTTTTAAAAATTTATTTTTATGTGTATCAGTGTTATACCTACATTATGTAAGTGCACCTGTGTCATCCAGTTGCAGTGGAGGACAGAAGTGGGTATTGAATCCCTTGGAGCTGGAGTTATGAAACAGCCAGTGCTCTCAACCACTGAACTGTCTCTCCAGCCCCATACCCTTCCAGTTTTGAGGACATGCCAGTCCTCTGCTTCTAATGTGCTTGGTAGAGATGTATGACTTGTGGGAATGCCAAGTCAGGACAGAAAACTTCACCCACTGTGCTCACAGTCAGGAAGCATGGTGATCCTTGGTGGGTGACTTGGACAGCTTTGGATAAGTGAGTTTCTTACATGTTTGTGAGGGTCAAAGTCAATTTTTTCTAATCATCTGAAGGCTCAACACATTTACCCAGGGGCTTTGTGATGAAGACTTTGCTCTCTAAGGAACAATGGACTCCACAACTGAGTGTTGAGTAACTAGTGGGGACCAGGACTTCAAAGAACTACAGTTTCACAGAAACTACTTGAGTTTATATAGTAAAGGTATAACTCACGTTTTTTCATGAATGAAGTCCACTCTTGAGCAGTCCAAAACCCTCACTTGCTTAGCTCATGGCTTGCAAGCAATTCTATGGCCTAAATACTACCAGATAAAAAAGTTAAACTCATTTGCCTCAGAAACTTGGCGAGGAGACACAACTGCTTTTAGCTGAGCAGCCACGGGGGGCTTCAGGAGGCATCAAGGTCTTATCCTTCAGAGCCTTGATGCTATGTGGAGGGGAGTGCTCCCAAACCCAAGGGTGGATGTGCCATTGAATGTGTTCTTAGAAACCTTGGCAGATTCTCCATTTCTAACTGTAGGAAGCTCTGAGTCTTACCACATAACGGATGTTATTTTTCCCTGTAGGGTAACAAACTGCAGTAACTTTGCAAACTGCTTATGACATAAGTTATACCAAGATCCACATTTCTCTTCTTGGAAGACAAACCATACTAATTGTTGTATGAAAAACAATATACCTTGTTTCTTTTACACTTATTTTTTGTAATAGGTTGCTCTTGGTCTAGAGGTTATGCTTGTTATTGTTTTAATCTATCTATTAGAGTTTGTCCTTTGATACTTCCTTCAAGAAATGTCAAGTCACTGTTCCCTTGTGTGAGCCTCACTGAAACAGCAGCCACAAAATGAAGTTCAATCCTTTTGTGATTTCTGATCGAAGCAGGAGCTGTAAAAGGCATATAAGAATTCACAGTGTTTAAACTGGATTGTTTTTTAAAATTTTATTTAATAACCACATAATTAGTAGAAGCATTTCATTACAACAGCATTGACATAGTCAATAAGAGTTTCCAGAGCAAAGATGCATCTCTTTCAAAATTGGCTGTAAATTTTTAGGTTCATACTATTCAATTAATACAGTTACACAATATTGTATTCAGTATAATCCCTATAAGACATAAAATTGAATGAGGTTTTAACTTTTAAAAAAAATCTCCATTTCTTATATGTATAGCTAAAGGCTACATAAAAGAAACAATGCCAGACAGGAGATACCTCCTTTTGAATTGTTGGCCAAGAGACTCCCAGATAGTAACCCAGCATAGAACTGGGAAAATGAACAGCAGATCCAATCTTGTCTAAAGGATTATTGACGACTGATTGCTGGAGATGAGGAGCAGCTGACCTTCCTAAAACAAAGACCTCTAGATTGGCTGACTACATTCACCAAATGAACAAGTAGTGGGGAACGGCTGTGGTGCCGACAACACAGCAGACAGTAGCAGGGATGACAGAGTATAAGGGCTCTAGTGGGGCATGGGAAGCTATGGAGGGTGCCATCTGGGAAGTGGGTGTATAGTTGAATAAGATGGTTTGGGATGTTCTGTGTGATATACACACAAAAAAAATCAACAAATTTAAAAAATGAGTTATATTTGAGGAGGAAGCATAAACATTTACATCATGTTAATTAGTAGAGGTGATAAACATTACCATTGAAATCTACCCAATGACTTTATATCCATACACAGGTGCCAAGGATCCAAGTGCAACCGACTATGACTAGTAATAATCAGATACTTGCAGATTAGAGATTCAAGTGCCAACATCTAAGTGTTATTAGCAAAAACAATGAGTCTTACTGTAAGAAACAGTATATTTTTAAATGAAAATGGGGATCTTTTTTAAGGGTTAAAAATCCATTCAATTTTATAACAATATTCAATATTGTATAACTGTATTAATTCAACTGTGAACCTAAAAATTTTATAGCCACTTTTGAAAGAGATGTATCTTTGCTCTGGAAACTGTTGAGTATGTTAAAGCTGTAATGAAATGCTTCTTCTAAAAAAGAAAAAAAAGAAAAAAACAAAAAAGATCTCCATTTCTTTTTAAAATATACTGTTTCATACAGAAAATCTCATTTTTAATGCAAATAAGACTTAGATGTTTGCACATGCGTCTCTAATCTCTATATGTTGGATTATTACTAGTCACAGTCGATTACTTTGAGATCCTTGGCACCTGAGCATGGATATAAATTCATCAGGTAGGTTTCATTGGTAATGTTTGTCATAGCTACTAATTAACATGAAGCACATTTTTATGCTTCTTCCTCAAATATAACTCATTTTTAAAAATTCATTGATTTTTTTTTTGTGTATTTCATACAGAACATCCCAAACAATCTTATTCATTTTTATACCCACATCCCAAATGGCACCCTCCCATAGCCTCTCCCCATGAACCCCTGACTGGAGCCCATATACTCTGTCATCCCTGTTACTGTCCACTGTGTTATCAGTGCCCCCAGCCATTCCCCAGTGCTAGTCCATCTGCTGAGTCTAGTCAGCCTATCTAGAGTTCCCTGTTTTAGGGAGATCAGCTCTTTCTCATCTAGCAGCAATCAGCTGTCAACATACTGTAAAATATGTACCTTTTCACATCTGGACGAAGATTATATCCTCCCCTCTTTCCAAAGAGTTGAGACAGAAGTACAACGTCCAGTCTGTGCCAGTTCGAAAGGATGATGAAGTTGAGGTTGTACGAGGGCACTGCGAAGGTCAGCAGATTGGCAAAGCAGTCCAGGTTTACAGGAAGAAATATGCCGCCTACACTGAGCGGGTGCGGCAGGAAAAGGCTAATGGCACAACTGTCCATGGGGGCATTCACTGCAGCAAGGCTTTAACTGGCTCTAAGGAAGCTATAAAAGCCTTAACTCTCCTCTGTGCCCAGCATCCTGGAGCCTTGTATCATTGCTTACTGAAAAGTCCTGTAGTAAGTCTGGCCCAGAGAAAGGCATTGACCCAAGTTTTAACAGAGTTCTGACAAATTATATCACTCAATACTTTGCCCTTTTCGTTCCTGCATGGAACTCCGTTTCTATGGAAACATCCTCCGTGTGCTCATTTCTTCAGAGGACAAGGACTCTCGACCAACTAGTCTGTCTGCCCACTGCACACAGACGAAGCAGCGCTTTGCCTGTTGAGCACAGCTCTCAGGACTCTATTTACTACTGGGCGCCTTTAGAAATCCTCTGCTAACTGCGACCATCAGGAGCATCAGAATTGCTGTTGTGCGAATGAGGGAAGTGGGCACTGAGCATGTGTGTGAAGAGCCTCAAAATGGATGCTGGGAAGCCTCCATGAGTTTATGCCAAGAAAACAAATAATTAAAAATATATACTAAAATGAAGTTTCAGCAACCTTTATCATAGTGTAAATGGCATTGAAATATAACAATCAACTTATGAAACAGGTGAGATACAGTCTATGTAAAGAAGGTCAGCAAAGATTACAAACAATGGCATGTACATGCATATTTATATATCTACACACATGTACACACACAATTCAGACGTGAGCTAAACACACAAAACACACAGAATAGCAGATGCTATTGCAGTGTTTGAAAAGCCTCATGGGGAAGTCTAGAATGAGCTCTTCCACCCATGGGGCTGTAATCCAAAACTTGGAATGAAGGACTGATGTTGCATTATACGATTTTTTTCCTATCTGTGCAACCTATGATGATGTTTGTTTTATAAATTAGGGACAGTGAGAAATTAGCAATAGTAACAAATAATAGACTAGGACAGTAATAATACCACACTGTGATAAAAATGAATGAGATGGCCAGGTGTGATGAGGCACACCTTTAATCCCAGCACTTGGGAGGCAGAGGCAGGTGGATCTCTGTGAGTTCGAGGCCAGCCTGGCCTACATAGTGAGTTCCAGGCCAGCTGTGACTACAGGGAGACCCTGTCTCAAAAAGACCAAAAAAAAAAAATGAATGTGACATATCCTAAAATATGTTATTATACTATGTTTATGCCTCCATGACAGGATTAAATGAAGAAAATGACTAAGCGTGTGTCACTCACTGTGGGCCTAGACTTTGCACTTTGAATTATGACAGCAGATCTACCACAATATATTTTTCCTTTGTCAGAATTGCAGAGATGGTAGATTTTTCTCTTACCGCTAGCAACCTCAGCTTATGACTTTTTACTTATTAAGTCAATAATTTTCACCTAAAGGAAATACTTGAAACTCCTCTTTGGTATATCCAGATTGGCAACATCTACCTGTGTGCTTTGAGGACAATCATAAAAATTGCTTGAACACAGAGCTACAAGTCCGTGATATCTAAGGTGGTGAATAAATGAGCAAAGAACAGGTGGCTACAGTGTGGCTACGATGGACGAACGGGCCGTTATGTCTTGGGTGAGGGAGAGTGGGACAGTCTAGCGTTCATCTGCATCATGCTATTCAAAATGGAGTGCAGTGCTAAGTTTCTTAGTTACTTTATTTCTGCAATTTCCTACCCAGTGTTTTCAGGCTCACACTGACTGAGAAACCGAAGTCATGAAGACCACAGCTCTGGAAAGTGGGGGGCTGCTGTGAAGGGAAATGCCAGCAGCCCTTATCTCGAGGGATGAGACTCAGAATGATTTTTTCCTTTTACTGATTTGCATGGTATAACACTTTAAATTTTGTGCACTTTTGTTATTTAAAGCTTACACTATAGGTTGAGCGGATTCAAAGTCAGCATTGTGCCAGCCCCAGGGACCATTACAGGTGATTGCTACTGGATACAGTTATCACTGTTCTAGTGCAGGCACTAGAACACGTGCATCCCTGAGCCTCCATGCTTTAGGCCTGCTGATGGGTCTTCAAAAATCCTCTGCATGGGTGCATGGTTCACTAGAAGCCTCTTGGACCAGAGACTTGCCCATGTTCCTGCTGAGAACAGACCATCCCGGAGTGGTTGAAGTCATTTTAATTAACTTAGAAACAGCTTCTGCTAATTCTTTCTTCTCCCCCTTTTATTCATTTATTTATTTGTTTGTTCTTCATTAAAAAAGATTATGTGTTTATGTTTTAGGGAATCCTGTGGAGAAGGCAGTGTGAAAATCCTGGAAGACAGACTAGAGGCCCTCGGGTTCCAGCACAGCTGTATTGATGATTACTTGTAGGTGGCACTGTGGATAACCACTCTGAGGGACTGAGTGACTACAGGGACTTTATGGGTATCAGCTCCTTAGACCCATGGGCTGGTGACTTCTGGGTTGCCTATGTACATGTTGGGAGGAAGGCCTTCCGGCTAGGGAATCTGCCTCTGGCCAACACACCACTCAGAGTCCTTAATGACAGTTGTAGGGCATTCAGAGCAGAAATCTATTATGTCCTATGTCCAGTTTCCTCCTTCCCTTACTTCCTGTGTGGTGAGACTCACTCAGACCAGGGCCTATGGCTCCTGTGTCTTTAGATCCCAGCATACAGTTGTAGGGCATTCAGAGCAGAAATCTATTATGTCCTATGTCCAGTTTCTTCCTTCCCTTACTTCCTGTGTGATGAGACTCAGACCAGGGCCTATGGCTCCTGTGTCTTTAGATCCCAGCACGAAATAGAATGAGATGGGAGTCTGTTTGACGATTCATCTTGATCACAGATGGAGAAAAATCAGCACAGCTACCGTTTACTGACTTTGCCCCAGGTACCACTGAAGGCTTTCCTGCTTCTTGGACATTTAGAAAAGATCGGCTGTAAGCCTGGGGTATCTGGAACCCTCCCCTGCACTCAGATTTTCTGCCTCTGCCCCTCCCTGCCTCACCTCAGCTCCTAAGTGTACAGACCTGGTGGTTCTGTGGGGTGGAGTCTGACACTGCCAGGTTTGCTTGGGCACTTGTGGGTGTGTTTGGCTGGAACGGCATCTTGTCCCACATGACCATCTTGCCACCCTCAGCCTTCCTCAGTGCCCCATGGGCTGCATAATTCTCCCAGCTGATCAAAGCCTCTAGAGGTGTGGGTGACTCCCCTCCAGATCTCCTTGTGACGTCTGTTCTCAGTGCCGTTTTACTCATTATTGCTGGTGCTCGTGGGAAACTCAATGCTTAGGTCTTACTTTTCATCCCCTTTTAAAAGAAAAATGAAGCACAAATACCCGCTTCTGGACATCTAACCTGTATACATAGCACACATTTAAGCACACAGTTGAATGAGCTGTCATAAGTTCATCATGCAGCAAAATGACCAAGCGGCAGAACAGAACCAGCCCCCGAGTCTCCCCCAGCTTTTCGGTCACAGCCGTCTGCTCCCGTGGTGACCACTCTCTACATTTGCAATGTCATACATAGGGTAGTTTTGTCTGTCTTTGGGCTGTAAATATGACCTCCTCATAGATGAGTCAGAGATACTAAATAACTGGCCCAAGGTCAATACTCAGGGTCAGAGTTGAGTTTTGGACACAGCTTTGTATAGCCTTGAATCAAACTTTTCTTCCTCGTTACTGTCATGGTCCTCTTTAAATCAAAGTACTAGATACTAGAAATATTTTTGTATTATTTTTGTGTATGAGTGTTTTGCCTGTATGTATATAAGCACACCTTTACATGCAGTGCCTGCAGAGATCAGAAGAGGGCGTTGGATCTCCTGGAGCTGGAATTACAGATGGCTGTTAGCTGCCATGTGGTTGCTGGGAACTGAACCTGGGTCCTCTGCAAGAGCAGCCAGTGCTCTTAACAGCTGAGCCATCTCTCCAGCTGCTAGGCTTATTTCTTTAAAGACTCTCTTTCCTCCTGGTTGATTTCTACTAACACTGAATTGCATCAGGCTCAGTGAAGTTCATTATCTTCTTTGAGTATGTGATAATAACAGGTAACTTTTTTTATGGTTCTTTGCATTTTTTTAT